TTAGTTATCAATCTTTGATCTTTAGTTTAAAAATATGTTATTGATAAAAAAATATAAAAGTCTGTTATAAATTATTTATAAGTATTTTTGAATAATTAGTAGTATACCTTATTAAGATATATCTAAAGTAATACAAATAATATATTTCAATTATCATTGCTTTATATCAAACACATTTTAATCCTTGAATCTTGATTCTTATTAATCTCAATAACTAGTAGAGATAAATATACATTTTTTCAGTATAATAATTTTTTATGTAATTTTTTATAAATATATTTAAAATTTAATTTATTTATTTTAATTGACATGAAAATAAATCTATTTAATATGAAATAATAAAATAATATAAGTTAATAATTTCAACTTGTTATTAATTTAATTTCTCTTATTGAAACAAAAAATAGAGATGTTATATCACCAACTTTGAATAGAATGTTGTATCTATAAAAATAAAAATGAATAATAATATATATATTAATTTTTATTCTAAACATTTTTTTAATAAATATTTCCAAGTAATTAAAATTATTAAAATATAAATCAAATTAATTTTTTAAAAAAATTAATGTAATAATTAATATATATTGAATACATTAAAATTTTTATCCATCTTTATGAAATAACATAATTTTTTTATTTTCATAAAAAAAAAATTATAAAAGTTTAAGACTTTTTAACAATTTTTTCTATTGACCTTTTTTTACAAATTTAAATCAATTTTTTGTCAATTATTTTTTAATTTTTTTATCTTAATAATTCAACATGGTATAAATATTTGGATAATATTTTTATATTTGATAAGCAAAGACTTTGATAAGGAGGCAAAATATCACAAATATAGAACAAATTATAACCACAATCACATTTTATAATACCTTTGATTTTTTGTAAATCTTATAAATATTTTATTTGGTTTTTATAGATATATTGAAATCTACAAAATTCTTGGAAGACTTATTAGAGTTTTAAATTTTCCATATTTGTTAAGAAATTATAGATAATTTTTTATAACTTTCTAAAAACTTCACAAATGATCAAAATTTCATATTATTATGTAGAAGTTTACATAGTAGATTCTTTTTGTAATTTTAAAATACCTTTATAATTCTTAAAATTTCTTTTGGGTACTTCTATAAGACATGATGGTTGTTAAATAAAAAATTTAAGAATTTTTAACAATCTTAAAATAAGAGGCATGACAATATGTATCTTTGTCTTTCTATTACAATTTTGGAACAAAACAAGATCCTGTTTGTAATATTGTATGTAATCTTGTCTTTTATGTTTATTTATTATTATTTCTTTATAAATTATAATTTATAATTTTTTATTCATGATGTACTGTAATAGCCTTGGAATTATTATAGTTTGTAGATATTCAAGTACCATGTATATAATTATAAATTGGTAGAAAATCATTGAGAGTGAAAGTTTACAAATTTCTAATTAGAAATATTAATTTCAATTAAGAAATTTATGGTAATATTTATTTAATAAAATAAATAAAAATAAAGGTGACATATCAAAAATATTTTAAAAAAACTACTCAAATGATATAAAATATTTATCATCTTAAATATATTATATTGTCAAAGAAACCTTTACCTAAGAAATTTAACTTTCAACCAAAATATAATTGTATGCAATTACACATCTTTTAAAATCATTATAAAATTATAATAAAAAATATATTTTATTTATAAAATATATTAATTTTTTTTTATTATTTTACAAAAAAATGAATATTTTATTGCAAACAAAGTTATAAGATTTATGTTACTATATTATATTTACATGTTGTTAAATTCATTGAAGAAGTAGAATTGTAGACCTAAATATTATGAAAACTTCTTTATTAAGGGATTTCAAATATGGTCTTTTTGGGTGATATTTTACTTACAATGCAAGCTCAAAGTATCCCATGATATTTCAAAATATTACTTAATACTTTACCAAATCACCCACCTTCCTAAGTGGATGATTTTGAAATAAAAATATCAAAAAAGAGATGAATGAAATATCAAAAACCGCATCGCTTGCTTCAAATCTCTTCTTTCTTTGATTCCATACCAAACCGCAATATTATCATGTCTTTATACTCTATAAAACAACAAACCTTCTTCTTTTTTTGATTCTATATCACACTATAACCTCACCATGCTTCAATGCTCTAAAAAATAGTAGACCTTGAGAGACTTAGAACTATTGATAACTTTTGTAATTAATTAGGAATTCTATGAATTATTTAAAGAACAATGCAAAGAGATTGACAATAAGTTTTAAGACAACTTTTTTGTATTTGATGATACAAAAGAATTGGCAATGGTTCAAGATGCAATCAACAGCTTTTATTTCATGTTTACTCAAAATTCTATATTCAAATTAAGTAATTATATTTCAAATTATTTTATAAATAAGTATAATACCAAGTTTTGAAAAATCACAAGAATATGAAAAAGAGGCTTTTAGATGGTACTTTTAGCCATTAAAGACCACATTGTTTTTAAAAACAAGAGCTATTGGCCGCAAAATAATATTGCTTGGCAATTGGCTATAATATTAGAGCAACTTGGATCAAATAAGAATGAAGTTAAGTTTAGAAGATTAAAAAAGACTAAGGTATAGATAACAATATAATGTGCATCTTTATAAATCAAGTGATTTAAGCCATTTTTTTTTACTTGAATATAAATATTTGTAGTAGCCAAATATAGGCCAAAGGCTTCAAATTAACTAATCTTTCAACCTACTTGGCTTTAAACATTGTATTGGACTTATTGATGGGATATAATTCTTCTTAAGTTAATACCTTAAGAATGACAAAGATACATTCTTTAATATTAATAAAAAAAATACTAAGTAAATGAATAGATTTTTGATGACTTTAATTGCCATATCATTGATCTAATCACTAATTAGCCTATATCTTATAAAAATGCAATAGTGTTCAAGTCAATAGATATATTCAAAAAAATTCAAAAAATACTTCAAACTTAAGTATTATTTATTAGTAAACTTGGCTTATAGTGTAAGTTAGACAATTATTATTAGCTACAAGTTTCCGGTAATAAAATAGTTGATCAACAAAGAATTCAACTATTATTTGATTAAAGCATAAGATACAAATGAACATTGTTTTAAGATCTTAAAAAATAGGTCGACTTTACTTCAAAAAATCCATATCCAATTTAATTGAACAAAGGATATGAAATGCATTTTGGATTGGATCTTTACTTATTATATTTTTCATAATATATTGGCTGATTTGGATGGTATATGAACAACTAAATTTACTCGTAAAGACCAAAAACCATCAAAAAATTTTGTTGTCATATCAAGAGAGACGATTTTCTTCAAAAAAATAGCTTAGAGAAAAGTCATGGCATAGAATTATACATTGGATGTTTTATTAATGGATAATTTAGATTAAAAGATTGCAACCATATTTGCTGCAGCATCTTCAATTATCATGGTTTAGTTTGTCTACTCATGATATTTTTTATATATTGTAAAAGTAAAAATAAAAATAGTATTGTTAGATCTTACTTTTTTTTCTTCTTCTTCTTCTTTATATTTTTTTGAAATACATTGTGGAATTAAGGCTTCCAAAATCTTATACTCAATGCTTTCAAAACTATAGAAAATAGAATAATATATAAATTAAAAAAAAAAGTAATTCAAAATAGACAAGATGAGCCCAACTCTTCCTCTATGGCCACTATGCTTTGTATAACATATATATTTGTATTAATATTATATACTTGATTTACTTAATGTATAAAGAGACAAGAGATAAGTACTATAGAAGAAGTAATTTATCCAACACATTAGGTTTTAGGATTGATAATGGTATAATCTTACAATGCAAATTCTAAAATTCAAGACATGATAAATAAACCACAACTCAAATCTCGAACTAATTTTTTATTCATATATTTTTTTCACAAGTGGCCACGAAAAGATTGAACTTGCCTTTTGATATCTTGTTTACTTGAGGAGCTAGTTGCACCAAAGCTTTATCTTGATCATTTACTTTCCATGTACCTCTGTTTTGCTAGAACCATACAACTTTTAAAAAATCTCTAGATCTTCTAACTTGTACACAATTACAACATATTCATTTATTTTAAATGACCTCCTTTGCCATTGTTTGCAAGGTTTGAAAACGACTTCAAAGGCGTAAGGAATAGCAAAAAAGAGTAAAAAGAATGGACATAAAATATTAAGTCAACATGTGAAGTTGACTTGATATCACTTGATACGTCACCAAAATATGAAGTGATACTTTACAAACTTGAAGATGATAATAAAGTTTGAATAGTGATATTTTGGATTTGATAATTTGAGTGATCTTTAGGTGTTAAATTCTAGTTATTTGGATTTGCTAAAGTGCCATGTTTCAAAAAGTCGATCTTCATGTCCCATGCCAGGATACCAAGTGAGAGGAGAAAGAAACCCAACAATGACGACGACGACCAGGAAGCCCCTCCGCTCGACTTTAGCGGCCCTCTCAACTTCGAGCTTCGTCATGTTGATCCCATAAATACTTGTATGCAATTCCCTCCATGGGCATCTCGATGGTGACGATATTCGGAAACGATATTCACCCTTTAACTTGCGACACACTGCCTCGGGTGAATGCCTTGCGGGAATTTGCAACCAATCTGCGGAACATCCCGTCGCCGCAATTTGATCCAAGTTCTTACAGAGACCAAACTCAGCGATCTCTGCAACCCAGTCGATGGGAAGAATTTCTGGGATGTGAAGCTGCCCAGTTCCAATGTCTCATCGCAATCGCTGTGACTTTTTGTCTTGATGGGGTTCATGGCTTCGACTTGGTGGCGGTGATAACCATCCATCTGATGGTTACGCGTTCGTCGCGGATTGTGCAGTTGATGTCCGGGGTAGCTGCAGCTGGAGGGGACATACCCGTATGGAGAATCCAGATACTATGGTGCGAGGATTCACTGAAAAGGAGCGACGAAGAGGATAAGGGAGGTGTACAGGTTAGAGTGGTTACTAGAAGTAGATGCTGGATTGATCGTTGGACTGCGGAGGCTTCGTTTTTGCAGTTTAGCTTGTTTGAATATTTGGACCACCATGGCTGCGATGGCTTCCTCCTGCTGCTCTTCCTCCTCCCTCGCTGTGCAGTCCATTCCAAGCCACGGTGCCATTTCCAAGTCGACGACTGCTTCACTTAAGGCTCTGCCCGCTTTGCCAGCATTGAGGCGGAGTGGTGTCACGTATGGTGTACCAGGGGCAGTGAAGGATCGACGAGTTGCCGGAAGACCTTCTGCTCTGTTTGGTGGTGAGTATTCGTCCTCCTTCATTTGGATTTTGAAGGCTGTGATCCCACCATTCATCGATTTGTGCGAAATCGGGGGCAGAATCCAAATGCTTCCATCTGAAGATAACCCTTCAGTTTTGCAATTTCATTGCATTGTTTTCAATTGAGAGCAGCCGTGAATGAGGTTGTGGTGATGGGCATCATCTTGGGCTACAAGACATGAGCGAGAACCTGGTCGAATTTGATAGTTGCTGACCGCAATTCAAGTTTGTTGTCTCACGGAAGAATTTGTTGATGGATTTTCTTGGGTTCAAAGTGGGTCGAGGAATAATAGCATTGGGTTTGCTGCTAGAATCGTACATGGACATCCAAACAAGATTAAGAATCTTTCTCTCTAACGGAATCTGTTGCCAGTGTAAAGTACGTATTGTTGCCTAAGCAAATATATTTGATTGAGATGTAGGAGGTGGAGCAGACGATAAGAAGCCTGAGAAGAAGTTCATAACCAAGGAGCAAGAACCCGACCAGTAAGTCCTTTAAACCGTCGTCAAATATCCGAAATCTAGTCCTATGCTATGAAAGGTGGCGCCTATGCGTTGTATGCGGTTGGATATGCAGGGTTGGTCTTCGTTGATCTTTAGAATATGCGCTAAGCAATATAATTGGGAACGGGGCATGAGCAGGTATTGGACGACGGCTGCCGAAAGGGAGGGCAAAAATCCAATGCAGACCCTGTTACCTTACATTGCCCTCTTAACCATCTTATCTCCGTTCGCAATTTTAGCAGTTGCCTATGCCAACAACTGGATCAAACTTCCCAACTGATAAGCGATACCAAGAGAGGCGCCGACCATTTTTCTGGGTAGGTTTCCAATTTGTCGATACAACAATGGCCGCCGACCGCATTTATACGTAGATGCAGTGGATAGCCTGAGTGTTCTTGCTTCTATGAATAAGAGTTCTTGTTTTTTTCTTTTTTCCACGACGACTAGAGACACATTTTCTCCCCATTATTCAGTCTCTCCGTGGCTCAATCTGTCGAGACAATCACTCGACGACTGACAATTGAAGCTGGCATGTGTTCGGCCTCGCTTTACCATCAAACCAGATCTCCACGAAACAGTGGGCGTGTCCACAAGTTGTCCAGCACACGAGACTTCTGCGGCACTCCTGATGCCAACATTTTGGGTAGCAAAAGCGCAGCTTTGTTTCGATCGGTAGCAACGTGGCCTGCCATGCGACGAACACCAAATTGTCCACCTCTCGCTCGCTCGCTCGTTCGCTCGCATGTTTTCCTCACTGCGATAGCATCGACGCAACTCTTCAGTTGTGCGCCACACAGCAATGTGTGCGTGTATGGATGAATAAGATTAAGAGATCGTCGTTATACTGATGGATGGATGGATGGATGGATGACTGACGGATGGATGGCTGGGTGGATGGGTGGATGGCTAGGTAGATAGATGGATGGCTGAGTGGATGGATGTATAACTGGGTGGGTGGATGGATGGATAGCTGGGTGGGTGGATGGATAGATAGCTGGGTGGGTGGATGGATGGATAGCTGGGTGGGTGGATGGATGGATAGCTGGGTGGGTGGATGGATGGATAGCTGGGTGGGTGGATGGATGGATAGCTGGGTGGATGGATGGATGGATAGCTGGGTAGGTGGATGGATGGATAGCTGGGTGGGTGGATGGACTGGATGGATGGATGATTGGTGCATGGATGGATGGCTGGATGGCTGGAAGGATGGCTGGGAGGATGGCTGGGAGGATGGCTGGGTGGATGGCTGGATGGCTGGGTGGATGGTTAATCAGTTATTTTGATTCTTGATGTTGATTTGTGGTTTCATTTTTAACTTTTGTTGAATACTCATTTTATCTAGATTTTTAATTTACTATGTCTACATGAATCTGAACGCTCTTATATTAGAGATTTTTCCTATTTTTTAGAATTGATCTTAATTAAGTATTCATTGATGGAGATCATTCTTCAATATTAATTGTTTATCTATAAACTTTCATTATAAGGAATATTAACGTATTCCAAGCATAGTTGCTAAATAAATGTCTAGATTCTCACATCTTAAGACTTATAGGATATTTCTTCTTTACTTTAATATAGCAGTTATTTCTACAGTCACAATAGCTCTTTGATGATCATCTTTTGTTCTTTAATAATTTTGGACTTGATGTAAGTGTCCAAGTGGAGGTTGTTTTTATTATCAAGGTTAAGTTTAATGATAAGATCAAGCATTCTATTGAAATCAAAGATCCTATTAATGTTGAAATTGACTAATTCTTCAATGCCAAGTAACATTAAACCTATCTTGAATTCCTTGGTTCTTTAATTCCTTTCTCCTTATATCTATACGTATCTTATAATATTTTACTATTTTTAAATGAGTCTTCACTAAGGATAAAATAGACTATTAATGAAATTATCTTAAAATAGAACTTTAACTTGTATTTAATGAATCTTATTTTATAATTATTTCCTTAACTTGTAACTCTATGGCATTGGCTCCAAAGCTTCTTTTATATTGAATTGAAAAACTTAAAGATATTTGAAAATCTTTGCATGAGTCCTTTTATGACTTCAAACTTAAGACTTGTTATTGTATCAACAAAGTAAGAAGAAAAGACATGATATAATGCTAATTGTAATTTTTTATTATAATTCCTTTTATGATCTTTATTATATAAGTTTGTATCTATTTTTAGCTTTCTTATAGTAATTTTTTTATTACTATTTGGATTTAGTAAATCTATTTTGTCTCTAACTACTTTACCTAGCTAAGGCAACTTAACCACCTTGACTTTTTACACTAATTAGCTCTAACTTCTCTTTTTCTAATTCTTTTCATACTAGTTTTTATTCTTCTTCTTTTAACTATTTTTAGATCAAGTCTTTTCTTCTAATTTTAACTTATTTTTATATAAGGATTCTTCTTTCTTCTTCTATGTTTTTTTTATTTTAATTACTTTTTGCATCAAGTTTTTTTTTTTTTTTTTTTTTTTTTTTTTTTTAAATTCATAACTTTCTATATAAATTTTTTTAAGTTATATCTTTAAAATAATGTAAAATTTATAATTTATTTTTAAATTATATTTAATACTTTTAAAATTAAGATTGTTCTATAAGATTTATCTAATATTAACAAAAAATATATACAATTTAAAGAATGAAAAATTTATAATTTATATAAGAAAATATTAAAATGATCTAAGCTTTTATTAAATTGATCCATCCAATCTAATCATCATGAAAAAAATTGACCTCTAGATTTTATTCTCTATTATTGGATCAAAAATCAATATAAACCATCCATATTCATGATTACTATTATCTTAATCCAAAGATCAATTATAGCAGCTACTTGAGTTCTTGTCTCTTGTGAAAAAATCCTATATTTGTTTTTAAAAGAAAATTAAAATAAGGTTGTGATTTAGTCTTTTTCTACACCTTCCAACTTCATCTCATGTTACACTTTGTCTCTTGCATTTCGCTTTGCTTCTTGCAAAGTGCTCTTGCCTCATAGTCGAAACAATAATGCACAAAAAGGTGATCTTATTAAAAGAATTGATCCACAAGGAGATGATCATGCTGTAATGTAATGCTATTGCAAAGAGTTGATGCACAAGGAAATGATCCTACTATGAGGTCATCATGTTGCAAGGACATAATGTATAAAGAGGTGATCTTGCTGCAAGGAATTGATCTACAAGAGTGATATTTGAGCCTTTTAGTGAAGTGTAGGATCAGCTTGTGATGATTTCTATGTTATTACAATTGGATTCATTGGCTTTTCAATGTTTTTTTGACTACTTATGAGATTGCCATCAATGAACAAATCAACTAATGTTAATTTCTTTAGTCAAATTATTTCTATTAATTTATGCAATGTTTGATTATCACTTATTTAAGCCTTATATTGTAGTGCTCATAATACTTGATGGCAAAACTAAGAGCCATTTGGTCTTGGAATGATTTATTTTTATTTTTATTTTTTTAAAATCATATTATTCAAGTATAATAACAAAGATTATTTTGTGGTTGTATAATTTGGTCAAAGATATTTTTAATATGTAGGCTAACTCTTCAATTAACATTGACATAATTCATTAGAGATAAAAGTGCTTAGATTTGGTGTATAGAGCTTTGGAGTACTAAATATAGTAGAAGATATTTTTTTCACTTTCATTAAATTTTATTTTTTTGTCCTACTTCATATTTTTTTTTTTAATCATACGAAATTGTCTTAAAGACCATGTTGATTCTTCCATGAGCCACAAAACTATGTATGATTGAACAACATAGTATTAGTTCTTAATATATCATAGTAAGTGTCTTAATTTATTGAGCTAGTTAAGTATAGAGCCACACTAGCACTAAAAAAATTTGATCAACCTTATATATCCTGGCTATTTTGCATCAATAATACTAGAGTAGATAATTTCATGTTTAATGAACTTGAATTAATTCTTACGGCATTATTAAAATCTACTTTGACTTCTTTCGGAATTAATCTAGTACTTGTGTCAAAAAAATATTTTTTTGTTCTATTATAGCTTAGTAATACTATTCTCTACTATTACATTTTATACATTATTGGTTAATTTCTCTTCTATAACTATTATGATATTTATTATAGTTGACCATTCTTTTTATTTTTTATTATTTATTTAGTTATTTTAGCAATAGTATCTTCTTTAATTGACCATCAAATTGATTGGTTGGATGAAAAGAACTATGGCACATAGACATTTGTTATAAAGCAATTGATATGCATTTATAAACTCTACATGCGTATAGATAGAACATTAGAATGTCTTAGGGATATGGATGAAAAATCAAAATAAAAATCAAGTAAAGCAAAAGCGTAAGTGTTGATTGTCTTTAATATCAAGCCTTTGCAATTTACTCTTATATAAAAAAGTAAGATTATAAAGGATATATAGGATATTTTGGCTAGGATCCATAAATCATCAAGAATTATTATTGAGATATTTTTTTATATAGAAACTTTATAATCTTGATACATTGATAGAAAAACTATGAAAAGGTTTCTTGAGAAATTTTTTTATTTTCAAAATTAATACATTGAATCTAATGGTGAAATAGGCATACAAAACAAAATATTTGTTATACTTACAATATTATTAAAATCATAGGATCTCCTTATTCCATCAATTGTATCAAAAAAATAAGAAGATATCAAAGAAGAAGTAATGCTATATATATTGCTTAAAAAAGAGATGTAAATAGAGAAGAAGTTTAGTTCTTGAGTTTTTTATTTTATTAGTGCATGCAGAAAAGAAGAAAGCTTTGAAAAAGTACCATCTATAACAAAAATAAAAATCCAAGATTAACAAGTTCAAAAATACTAATAGGATTTGTAGATAAAAGAGATATTCATGACGTAATGAAAAATATCTTAGAACAAACATTGGTGGTATAGTAAATGCTAGGATTGTTGTCCTCTTAGCTTAAGAGATATTATATTAGTTACAAATAATGATTGTATTATTGTTTCAATTAAATTATTATATTAATACTGATAATATAAAAAATATACACATCTAAGAAAATACAAGTAATTTTTTTAATTTTAGTAAAAATACAACTATCCAATTCAAAGGCTACAATAGTGATATTGATAAATGAAATACATAAGGGACAAATGAAATACATCTTAGTATTTTAGATCCTAAAAAATGAATATATTTTTGTGGTTACAAAGAATATACACTAGATTTTTAGAACATGTAATATTTTTTTGTCAACTGCATTCTTATACAAAAAAAATTATAAATCTAATTTAGATGACAACAAAATTGATTGAATTTTTCTTTTAGATAACCTATTTATACAAGGCATACTCAATAATAAAGCTTATCATATGCCTGGAAAAATTTAAAAAATTGTTGCAATTGCTAATTCATCTAATTTACAATTATACATTCATTAAATGGCATCAAGTATTAGTACATGCTTTAATGTATACAATAAGAGAGACTATACAAATAAATATTGTTAAAGAATTAAAGATCAAGGATTTGAAGGATATGATATCAACATTTGAATTGTGCATTATTAATAAGGCTCTTAGATAGTCTTTTCCTTACAAGTATAAGCATACCAATGGTATTTTAGATATAATAGTATTTGAACTTGGTTATTTTAAAATAATTAATATTAATGATTCAAAGTAATTAGTTATATGGATTTATAGATACTTTGGTTATTATATCCTTACATTTATTCAAACTAAGAACAAAATATATATATAGCTTGTAAGATTTGGAAAGCAGACATATAATAAAGAATAAAAAGAAAGATGATTTTTTTTTTTTTATTAATCAAAGCATTGAATTCTTGAATT